AGCGGGGGTCAAGGAAGGTGGCGATCGCCAACTCTTCCTTGGTGCCGTACGGGTACTTCTTCAGCTTGCCGAGGGCTTTGGTGATGAGGGCCTGTGTGAGGGGTGAGACGGCTGGCTCGCGGTAGGTGATTTCCATGTTGTCCAGCAGTTGGTTGTACAGCGGCACCACCGCTGCAGCTGTCGGGTACAAGGAAGCCTCAGCTACCTTGGTGATCGAGTGGAAGGGCTGAAGAAAGTTCTTCAGCTCGACAAGCGCGTCCCAGTGGACGTCACTGAGACGTATTTTGTCGAGCTGCTCGCGTAGCCTACGGGGGGGGGGGGGGGGCTGGTATAGGACAACAAGAAGGGTGGTACAGAGGGTTCACAAACTTAGTATACAATGGTGATGAAGTTACTCGTTACTAGATGGGTCCCAACATTGAGCTGATACACCATCCATATAGCCTCTTCAGACATACCGACAAACTATGCTAGACAACTCAACCCCCTTTCAAATCCAGCCCATACTCACGACCCTTGGGCGCCACACCATTCTCCCACACTCACTATTCGATACAGTCACAACTCCTCTAGCCCCCGACCAGCTACCCAAACTCACCATTCAATATAGTCACAACCCTTGGTGCGCCACACCAGCCCCGTATACTCACCTAGGGATGAGCAAGGTGGCGAACACCTGTTCGGTTCGCCTCGAACACGTTCGAGGCGAACCGAACAGGTTTTGTTTTTTAGCTCAAATCGTTCGCCGAACAGTGTTCGATGTTCGCCCGAACACGTTCGTGTTCGGGCCGCTGCTGAAATTTGCCCGCGACGAACACGAACAGTGTTCGAGGTTCGCCCGAACACGCCTCCACAGGCGAACAGCGAACACCTGTTTTTTCCTAAACTGTTCGCCGAACCGAACACTGTTCGGTTCGGCAAAAGAGGGTGTTCGACAAGGGGCGAAGACGAACATGTTCGTGTTCGCCCTTTGCTCATCCCTATACTCACCATCACCCAACATATACACACTACCGGAGCCTACCACTCACGTCAGTCCGGCTGGAAAACACCGTCAGTGCCTGCTGCAGCTCCAAGGCGCGGCAGATCATCTCATAAGTGGAGCCCCAACGTGTAGGCGAGTCGGAGATCAGACGTAGCACCTTCGCGTTGTCTCTGCCTGCCAACCTGCGCTGCAGACTGGCAAAAGCCTCTGACCGCTGGACCGACCATCCAATGTACGAACACGCATCCCGTAGGCGTTTCAACGCCTCCTTCACATCGTCCAACTTCAATGCCTCCTGCACTGCAATGTTCATGACATGTGCAAGACAGCTGTGTACGGAAAGGGCATAAGGGAAGGAAACAGATTTAGCTAAGGTTGATGTCACCTCGTGATAAAGTTACTACTACAGTATGCTGCCAAAGTGCCACATTTGAATCGATGCATGACAGGACGTACCGAACGTGACGCGCAATGTCGAGCAGTGGATTAGCTGTCCAGGCCCCTGGCCCCTCTGCTGGGTCCCCCGACAGAAGGCGCATCGCCTTGTTGTTGTTCTCCACATTGTCCGTCGTCACAGCAAACACTACATCCTGCACGCCAGCCTCGGTCAAGATGCGCTCGAGGGTCTGTGCTATGAGAGACCCTGTGTGCGAACCCTCCAACTGCACGAAATCCAAAATCCCCGAACGTAGCCTGAAGTCACTAGTGATCCAGTGGACGGTCACACACATGAAAGCTGTATGGTTCTCACTGGTCCAGATGTCCAAGCTAAGGGACACCCTCCCCGCGAGACCGTCGCCAAAGATCTCCTGCCTCAGCTCCTCTCGAGCCACCTCACTGAATGCTTGCATGTCCCGTGCCAAACGATAACGTGACCCCAGCAAATCCTTGGCCGATGGATTCAGCAAGGCGACAAATCGACGGAACTGGTGAGGTCGGGCAGGGACAAAGAAGCAAACACACCCAAAGCATTGTCCCAGCTGTGTACCAGGGCATCCCAACCCAACTGAGATGTTCAGACAGGATTTGAGACTCCCGGTGCAGGAATAGAGGGTAGAGTAGTTGTTGTTTGACTCACCGAAGCTCGGTCGACAAGACGAAACGGAAGATCCGCATCAGCAAACAACTCCACGAGAGCACTGCGTAACTCGTCCTGCGACACCCTTGGACTCAAGAACGCGCGCATGTCAACACCACTACGACTCCCACTCCCCCCCCCCCCCTGCGCCACTGCCCGCCGCGGCTGCAGCAGCTGGGATGTTCGGCCAGGCAGCCGCGTGCTCCCATGCACCACCGTGCGGGTTGGGCACTGTTGGCCCATCGCCCGACACGCCATAGCCGCCCCAAGGAAACTCTAGGTCCTTTGGCTTCGCCGGGTCCAGGAACCGCCGCACCCAAATTTGCACATTAGGGTAGTGCGCGCGCTTGACATGCTTCCACCCAGTCCCCGTGCTACCCCCATCCCATCCCATTACGTCCCCACACACCCGACACGGACGACAACCATCCTCAAGCTCACCAAACATTCCCACAAGTAAACTAGGGTAGTGCTTCCCTGCCAAACCCTCAACCACCGAATCCTTAGGCAAATCCTCCTTTCGTTGACGCTTTGACGCACGCCCACGACTCCCCGCTGTCCCACCACCCCGACTGATGCCACCAGCACGCAACGGCGTAGACCCAACACCATCGGACCGTTGAGTGGGTGCATTCCCTGGCCCTGGATCGGGCGCAGCCTCGGCCGCTCTCCCACCACCACTGCCACCGCGCCCAGCCCTTGCAGCACTATGCGCAACCCTCCCAACCCTCCCCCCACCTCGTCCAACTACTGGGGGGCCGCTAGCATACCCCCCACTGCGCCCCCCTGCATTGCCTACGGCCTGCGCATGCGCAGAAGACCGACCCTGCCCGCGACCAACCCGTCCCCCCCCACGACCCCCTCGACCCCTTCCTCCCCGTCCATTATCCCCTCCATGTTCCCTGGCATTGCGGCCAGCACCCTCCTCCTCCTGCTCTTGCACCTCCACCTCCACATCCGCGTCCCCTCCCGCCCCCGCTGCAGAGTCCTCTGCCGCCGCCGCCTCGACCTCCGCTACAGTAGGCCTATACTCATTATCATCGCCTGTTTCATCACGGGTCTGCCCACCACCCTGCCACTCTCGATGAGGACTGCTAGGCCAGTAGGAATCCTGTTCCTCACCCTCTGCATCTCCGCCATCAGTCTCAACAGGGTGCTGTTGTAGAGCACTACCCAGCATAAAGTTGGTTCGTGCTGCAGGTGTTGGAAGTCGATTAAAACTAGCACCTGGCAGAGCTCGTCCTTCTTCATTCCCATCTCCGCCTTCCTGGTTAGACTCCCCGTTCATATTCCGTTCAGTGTAGCGCCTTGGCGCTGCTGAAGGTGGCGCCTTGGCGCTGCTAAAGGTGGCGCCTTGGCGCTGCTAAAGGTGGCGCCTTGGCGCTGCTGAAGGTGGCGCCTTGGCGCTGCTAAAGGTGGCGCCTTGGCGCTGCTAAAGGTGGCGCCTTGGCGCTGCTAAAGGTGGCGCCTTGGCGCTGCTGAAGGTGGCGCCTTGGCGCTGCTAAAGGTGGCGCCTTGGCGCTGCTAAAGGTGGCGCCTTGGCGCTGCTAAAGGTGGCCCCTTCGCGCTGCTAAAGGTGGCGCCTTCGCGCTGCTGAAGGTGGCGCCTTCGCGCTGCTGAAGGTGGCCGCGATCGCGCTGCCCTATCGCGCTGCCTGATCGCGATGCTGAACCTGGCCGCGATCGCCCTGTCCTAATGCGGTGCCGCGATCGCGCATATGCGGGCCGGCGATCGCGCCAATGTGGGGCCCTGATCGCGCTGAGCAAACGCGGGGCCGAGAACGCGCTATTGCGGGGACGCGATCCCGCCAATGCATGGCCGCACGCGTGCTGCTGCGCCCCTGGTCGTGCGACGCTGCGAAATGGCGGGAGCGCCAAACCCTAACCTGAATATATTATGCAGTTTAAATAGTGCTAACATTGAAGAGTGAAGACTGTATGAGGCTCCCTAGCTGCAGCGCAGAAGTACTACCCTTTGATCTAGTCTAGCGACTAGATCAGAATGTCGAGGGAAAAAAAACCTAAAAAACCAACCGTTGTTCAACCCCTACCCTAATCCGAAAACAGGTCGGGTAACCCTGTCATTTGACTGGGTATGCGACCCGAACGGGACGGGTCAACCCGACCCGGCGGGTCGCTGATACCCGTCTATAAATCACATTGACGGGTCACGGGTCGACCCGTCCCGCCCGGGTAAACCCGACCCGACCCGGACGGGTCGACATGCTCAGCATTCCTGACCCGACCCGCCATTTTAGGCGGGTCGGGTCGGGTAACCCGACCCGTCCGGGCCAAATGCCCATCCCTATACAGATGTACAAGGATACACACTCGTGCTGTTCCATGTGATGGCATGCCGTGCCATACCATGCCATGCAGTGCCATGCCATGCCATGCCATGCCATTCTATGCACAAAGATGCTTCTGTGTTCCGTCCCTTGGGTTGGGTTAAAAGATAGACGTGCAAATGCATGAGCAGGGTTGCCTTTGCTTGCTTGCATGTGTGCCTCTCCTACACACACACACCTCTGCACCACACCACTCACACACACACATGCTCACGGGGTATGCGCAGTGCACACACACACACACATGCTGGAACAAGTGTACGTAGTACGTACATGCATAGCATATGCATGTGTATGTTTTCCCACACACTGAAGCACAGATTCTACATGGTCAGGTGCTCACAGAAGCAAACGTTCAAGCAATGTTCATCCCTGTGTTTTTTTGTTTACTTTATTTTTCACTTAATCACTCTATCATCTTTTCTCAATGTCTGTCCGCCAATCTAACCCTCCAACCCCACCCCTTCCCATAAGCTCTTGCTCCTTTACAACCCCACCCTCTCTCCTCATTCCCTCTCTCTTCAACCCTCTCTCTTCACACCCCGGCTCGCTCACCCCTCTCCTTCACCCCACTGCGTGTCAACTTGCAGCGATCTGGGGTACAACAGGCTAGCGGGAACTGTTCCTGCAAGCATCACTGGCCTGACTGCCATCACTAGCATGTAGTCCTGCTTGCTTTGCTCCCACACGCCTCTTGCACGTGCTCTTGCCATACTCGTGCCATGCCATGCCATGGTATGTCCAAGCAGTTGGTCTCGTCTCATCTCTTCACCATAGCATGCCACACTGAGTGTCTATCCCTGAGTAGGTTACGCACCCACCCCTTCCACAGTCCACCCATTGCCTTCCTTTCACCTCCACTTCGCTCTACTTACTCTGGCGTTCTGCCCCACCCTACACAACCCATCCAACCAACCCTATTCAATGCTTCCCAACCCATCCCAACCCTACCTAATCCAATTCAACCTACCCAACCCCACCTGACCCATCTTAACCGAATTTCTGTGCACGCCCACCCTGCAGTGACCTGAGCAACAATGACCTGTCGGGCCCGCTGCCAACGAGCATCAGCCAGATCACCACCCTCAAGGCCCTGTGAGTGGCTGACTGGCTCTTGAGGGTTCTCTCAAATTGCTAAGGCCCTGTAAGTGGCTGGTTCATGAAGTGTAACTTCAACACCTCAAGGCCCTGTGAGTGGTTGGCTCTTGCGGGTTCTCTCAAATGGCTAGGGCCCTGTGTGAGTAACTGCTCCTTGAGTGTTCCCACCTAAAACGGCCCAACGTCCTGTCAGTGAAAAGCTTCTTAAACGCCTCAAGACCCGGTCAGCACTGCACTGCTCTGCCATCTTCCCTCCCTCCCCTATTTCCTCTCTCCCCCGCCTGCAGTCCCCGTTTCCACCTCACTCTCCCCTGCTTCCGTGGGCATGGCTGAGGGTTTGCATATGAACGTGCAAACCGCTCTGCTGTGGATTTTTTTGATACAGTTGTTCTCACTTGTCGTATTCATCCTTTCTTTCCTGCTCCGGTGTAACTTCTCCCTTTTTTGCCTCCCCTCCCTTCACCCCTCCTTTTCCCCCTCCCTTCCCATCTCCCTCCCCCCTCCTTCCCCACTCGCTTCCACCCGCATCCTCTCTAACTGCAGCAATCTGAATGGCAACGAGTTGACCGGCTCCATACCTTCGCAATACTCCACTCTCACCAATCTTGGAACTCTGTCAGTATTCCACCAACCTACACTACACGTCCTGTCAATGCCCCGTACGCATTCTCCCCTTCTCCTCTTACCCCCTTCTCTCCTTCTCCATTTCTCCCCTTCCTCCCTCCTCTCCCGTCACTGCTGCTCCTCTGCCTGCTTTCATTCTCACCTACTCCTCTGTCTCTGTCTCTCTCATTCCCCGTCTATGTCTATCTTATGCTCTTCTTCTTTTTCAGCTATGCATGCTGTTTATGAGCCCCATAACGCCCCTTACGCTGTCGCCCTTCACCCCATTACCCATCTCTGCCCCCTCTCTCTGTGTCCCCTCTCTTTCTCTGCCCCCTCTCTCTGTGCCCCCTCACTCTGTGCCCCCTCACTCTGTGCCCCCTCTCTATACCCCCTCACTCTGTCCCCTCTCTGTGCCCTATCTCTCTACACCCCCTCCCTACGCATTCTCTATACGCCCTCTCTACGCCCCCTCTCTATTGGTTCCCCACAGCAAGCTCTGCTGCAACAAAATTAGTGGCACCCTGCCCGATATTCTTGGAGGGCTGTTGAAGCTGGAAACACTGTGAGTGCACTCTCTGCTCCTCTCTCTGCTTCATGCCATGCGAGTGACTGGATTGCTGCCAGCAGTATTGTGTTGCCACTGTTCCTTGCTCGAACGTTTTGTCTTCCCGTGCCGCAGCAACAACACACAACTATGTTGCGCTCTCTGTGAGCGATTGCACACCATATGTAAGCCCCCCCTCTCATATCCTCCTCTTTAATACCTCTGCCCTCATCCCCTCTCACATCCTCTCTCTCCTCTCTCTCCCTGCAGTGACCTGAGCAACAACCGTCTGCATGGAACTCTTCCCACTCAATTCACCGGCCTTGTCCGTCTCACCCTCCTGTGCGTCTGCCCACCCCGCATCATCCCGTCCACTCTCCTCTCCCGTGTGTCCTTCCATGATCCCATCGCTCCCGTGCGTCCTCTCACCTTTCCACTCGTCTTGTGCAATTTCATCTCCTTTGTCTTGTGCGACTCCTCTCCCGTGTGCATCACCTTCAGTTTTTGTTTCCCCTTTCTCCCATCCTCCCCAACTCCACCTCAACAACGGACTGAATAGTCCGGCCTGTACCGTTTCTTGTATCAATTCCACAAAGAGGAAGGGGAATTCGTTAAGAGCTTACACATGGTTGTTTGTTGGGGAGGAAAAGGGGCATGCTTGGGATCATCGCCAACAGTGTTGGCTCTAGGGATGAGCAAAAAAACGAACACCTGTTCGGTTCGCCTCGAACGTTAAAATTTTGGGCTTAAAGTGTTCGCCGAACAGTGTTCGATGTTCGCCCGAACACGTTCGTGTTCGGGCCGCTGCTGCAATTTGCCCCTAGACGAACACGAACGTGTTCGAGGTTCGCCCGAACACGCCTTCATAGGCGAACTGCGAACACCTGTTTTTGCTTAAGGTGTTCGCCGAACCGAACACTGTTCGGTTCGCCGAACAGGGGTGTTTGTGCATGGGCGAACGCGAACACATTCGTGTTCGCCCCTTGCTCATCCCTAGCTGGCTCCTGTAAATACATGGGGCAGGGAAACTAATAAGGGTTCACCACTAATCTTGGTCAATGATGAGCCTTTATAATGGGGTTTCCAGTCATCTCCCAACCAAAACCTTGGGATTCGAATTCTCGGGCCAAGGTTGAATTTCAAACCTCAACTGGGCTACTTCCAGTCCTTCAATCGAATTAGGTTTGGATGCTTAAGTGCACCGAGATGTAGTCTGTATGCAAAAGATGTATGTGATATTTTGACATTTGTGAGGCATTTTGTAAGTTTTGTAATACATTTTCCCTTGTCCTCCCTCGCTTTCCAACTCTTCCCCTACAACTCCCAATCCCCCTCACAGCAACCTGCGCAACAACCAGCTGACAGGCCCCGTACTGCAGCCCATCCCAGCAACCCTCACCTCCTACAATCTCGATCTCAACTACTTCTCCTCAGGCTTCTCCTCCCCACCCAACTGCTCTCAAGGCGCCATCTCCTTCCGCTTCAACTGCCTCCTAACCCAAGGCTACGCCTGCCCCACGCCTGCCACGCCCTCTGCTGAGGCTGCAGCAGTGCAGCGGCCAGAAGTTCTCTGTTCTCTTTTTTGCGGCGTGAGTGCTGCCGATCCCCCGTGTGGCGGGCATGGCTCGTGCTATGCGGCCGGCCCAAACAAAGTACCCACGTGTGACTGTGATCCCGGGTTTGTCAACGGGGAGTTGCCTGGAAGCTGCGTCCCTGAAGGAAGTGAGTGAAGGGGGGGGGGGGGGGGGGGGAGAATGTTAGGGATGCGGGAGTGAGTGATGAGAGGGGAGTGATGGGGATGAGGCTAGTGAAGGTGGTGAAGGGGACTGTGCGACTACTGAAGTCTGGGGTATTGAAGACTATTGAAGTATTCAGCAAGCAAAGCTCTTTCTCTTCCCATCACTGCCCACGCTGCTTCATGCTCCACGCTTCTTCACTGCCTGCTTTACCCCTCTGCACACGCCTTCCTGTCTCTTCACCCACTGCATGCATGTTACTGTCCTCTCGTTCCCTGACCCTCCCCCCTCCCTCCCCCTCTTCCCTTTACTCCAGGCCTGCACTGTGGCCCTTCCCCCTCATCTTACAAAGCATTCCCACATTCATCTGTCTTTGTCCTTCCCTACTCATTTGTCCTTTCCGTCCACTTGCTCCCTGCCCTCACTCTCTTTACCCGCCAGGCATGCCAGGCAATCCAGTTGGCATTGTGCCACAGCAGCGCAGATAGAAGTCGGCAGTAGCAAGTAAAAGGGAAGGCAGCAGTAGCAAGTAAAAGGGAAGGCTGCATCATGACCTCTCGCCTGCCTCTCACTGCTCTCCTGTACTTCCGTTTTCTTGCTCCCTCCTTGCCCACGCTCTCTCCCCGTTTATGTCAGGTGTGCCGGGCGACCCAGTGGACATTGTGCCGACAGCAGCACAGATAGAAGTCAAAGGGAAGGCGGCAGTAGCAACTGACAGCACCATCACGCTCACAGACTCACAGCCCAACATATGGGGCGCAGCGTTTTACAAAATCCCTGTCGCGCTCTTCTCCTTCTCCCTTAAAGCTGGTTCATGCGGCCGGCCATTCGCCTTCACCGTCTATTTCTCCTTCTCCATTCTCAAACCAACCACCGCCAACGCTGGATCAGAAGCAGGGGACGGGTTTGCGTTTGTGATTGCAGCCAGTGACACTTTAACAGGCGGTAGCAGCGGCAGCAGTGACGGCAGTGGTGGCAGCGGCAGCTTGGGGTATGCAGGCATGGATGAGCGCAGCATAGCCGTGGAGTTTGACACTTCTAAGAGCACCGATGCCAACGACCCAGACAGCAACCATGTGGGGCTCAGCGTTAAGGGCAAAACCACTTCCATCGCAACTGCCAAACCAGCCCTAACTCTCAACGACGGCATTCCAAAACATGCCTGGGTTGTCTTCGACCCCTCTCCTTCCTCCTCTTCTTCCTCTAGTTCTGCCAGTGGTGCCAGCACCGCTACCACTAAAGGCACGGGCTTGCTGCAAGTGTTCCTCTCAACCAGCGCGTCCCCCCATCCGAGCAAGGCAGTGCTGTCTGTGCAGGTGTCTCTGTGCCAGTACCTGAAGCCCACCAAACAGGAGGATTCGTTCCTCATGGGCTTCTCTGCTTCTACATTAGCTTCCCCGCAGCAGCACTCCATCCTTGCCTGGAACATCAACGCAGGTATTTTCTTGCTGCACCACTCCCTGCTCCCTGCTTACATGTCCATCAATAAATTTCATATCCTTCATTGGTTACATGCCCTTAACTGGTTACATGTCCTTCACTGGTTACATGTCCTTCAATGGTTACATCTACATTTGAGCAAAATTCCGAACGCCTGTTTGGTTCGTCCGAACATGTTCGTGACAGAACCGAACCGAACATTATTTTTTGCCACAAATGTTCGGCTGAACATGTTTGATGTTCGGCCGAATATGTTTGATGTTTGGAAGGGGGGGGAGGGAGGCCACGGGGGAGGAGCAGGCTCACTGAAAACACACTCTCGAACCTCGAACATGTTCGGGTTCGCCCCGAACATGCAGTGTTCGTGCCCGTATCACGAACACCGAACACCTAAAATCGCCAAAACATGTTTGGGCGAACCGGACATGTTCAGTTCACCCACAAGACATGTTCGTGGAGGTTCGCGCGAACATGTTCGGTGTTTGCCCGTTGCTCATGCCTAGTTACATCTCCATTGTTACTTGGCCAGGTGACGCAACACAAACCATCCCCTTACCTGCCTCACCTCACCTCTCTTCACTGTGCTTTCTTTTCTCCCCCCTCTCCTTCCATCATCCGTTCTATCCAGGCCTGCCAGAAACAACCACTCTCAAAGGTATGGATGATCTATAGTGGCTTAAAAATTTCGGCTTGACTCTATAGCCTTCCTTTCTGGTTGCTCGAACTTCTTCTCTCCAAATCACCAATCTCTCTACCGGCACTCCAGTCTTCTGCCCAATCGTTGATCCAGCATTTCCATAAACTTCTCCTCACACAATCCCTCCTACTGCACTGCACTAGCCATGACCTGTTTAGTGGTAGCATTCCTGGTTATTGAAAACACTGGTATTTATCTTTGGTAGGCTTCTTTGCATTCTGATATCTTGGCTCTCAGTGATCAAGGCTCATTGCCCTTTTCAAAAGTGATACAACGCACATTGTAAGGGCTTATCATTCTGGTCAACCCCTCTTTCCATCCACCTTGGTCTAACGTAGTGTTTGTTTCCTGATTCCCTTTTATTGCATCTCAGCCCATCTTGCACTACACTTACTTCTGATTCATCCATGATCGCCATTAGAAGCATGGCCACCTCAAATTCCATCTGAAGTTTGTCCATAACCATCCTCCCTCTCCTATCCAACCCCTATCTACCGCACCCTACCCATCCCTACACTCTCCTCCCCCCAGGCCAGCAGTTTGGGTTCCAACTGAGCGAGGCATCCCTAAAGCCAGTGGGGGCTAATCCTTTCTTCCGCTATGCCAGTGGGGGCGTGCAGCCTCTTCAGGCGCCAGGAACAGCAGCAGGAGGAGAAGCAGGAGGGGCAGGAGGCGGGGAGGATGAGGAGGTGTGGGTTGTGAGCCAGGCGTTCTCCTGGGCTGACCTGGGCCTCCCTTGGCCTGTCAAGAACCAGGGTCCCTGTGGTGAGGGCGTGCTAATGGGAACTGGGTGTGGAGGGGTGGGACGGGATAGAAGATGGTGTGGAAGAGGGATGGGATAGGGATGGCCCACTGGGGTTAGGGGGGGGGTGGGGGAGAGAGGAAAAGAGTGTCGCAGGGTGGTGAGGATATATTGTTGTGGGTTGTTCCAAGCTTTCTCTTCCTCTTCTCGCATTCACCTTCACTCTTCCCCACCCTTCCCCTTCACCCTTCCCTCGCAGTCCATTCCCTCTCCCCATTCCGTAACTGCTGGGCGTGCGTATGTGGTGATAGCAGCATAGAAACACCCTACAACATCCTCCGTCGTCCCTTTTCCCACCCCTCCTCTCTCTCTCTCAGGCGACTGCTGGGCGTACGCAGTGGTGGGCAGCATAGAGATGGCATACGGAATCCTCTCCAACCTCACTGCCGTGCCGCTCCTCTCCGTCATTCAACTGCGAGACGCCCTCAGCTCCTCATGCTCACAAGGCAACTCGCCCTCCCAGGCCTTCCAGTATCTCATCACTCTCAATGCCAAGGCCAACATTGGGCTGACGGAGGAAGGGAAGGGGGGGGTGGTGGTGAGCGGGGGCAGGGGCAGGAAAAATGGCAGCAGCGGTGCGAGCCCGCTCTGTGGCATGCCTGTCTTTGCTCAACTTGTGAAAGTGTTTGGCATCTCCTGCGGCAATGGCCGGACCCCTGGAACGGTGAGGCTATGTTTCTTATCTTTGTCTCCCTGTCTTTTCCGATTTCCTACATTTTCATCTGGGTTAGCGTTGAGTAATGCATACTAGCAAAATCGTTTCGACTAGAACATGCACAGCTTTGGGTCAAACCGTTCGGTTCGGTTCGACTTGGGGTGTCAAGCCGCGAGTGCACGATCAAGGCGATTAGAGGAAGAGACTGCACATTTGCAAGGATTTCCGAGTTTGCTCTCACATATCAAGACATGTTTTTGCCAAACCAAGGCTGCATACAGTTTGGTTTGGCAAACCAAGAATGGGCAAAGGCGCGGCCACATTAGGGCATGCCTCATTTTGTGTCAAGGTCACTGTTTGTATCATTTGAGAATATTGGTGCCCGGGCATTCCAATCTAGCAATATCCAGTCTAGATTCATGGGCTCCAAGGTTTTCGGATGACACAAGCAGTATCCTTGACACAAAGATGACTTTGTTTTGCAACTCGTACTATGAGGGTTGACAGCATCTTGATTATTGACAAGCAGAGCAACTACTACGTGGTATGGGGATCACATGCGATCACAAGCTGAGCGGACATCTTTTTTGGGATCTGTTCAGAGAGGTGCTGTCTTCCTTTCCTGATAGTGCCTCCCTTACCCACCTTCCCTGCCTCACATCTCATACCGCTCCTTCCTTACCCCTCCTCCCTGACCCTCCTCCCCTGCCCCCTCCGCAGAGCAAGCTATCGGGGGGGCCATTCAGAGTGAACGGGTTTGAGCGCACATCATTCCACGGCTGGTTTGGGCTGCTGCTGGCCGTGCAGCGACAGCCCGTGGTGGTGCATGTGCAGGCCACCGCCCCCTCCTTCCTTAACTATGATGGGGTGAGCATGAGTGCACATGGACCAAGGTGGTTGCCCCTTCCTTTCTCAACCATGATCGGATCAGTCCACTCAACACACACACACACACTCACTCACACACACACACACACACGCAGAAATGCACGGCACACACACGCACACACACGCACGCACGCACACACACACAAACAAACACACACACACAAACACACTCAGAACCCCTTTCAATCCCCCCCCAGCTATCCAAGTACGCGGACCCAGAGTGCTTCACGTACAACCTGAACCACGTGGTGCTGCTGGTGGGCTATCGCCTCACAGGCTCAGACCCCACCTTCCCGCACATGGCGCCGCCCTTCTGGATCATCCGCAACTCATGGGGCCCAGAGTGGGGCGACGGCGGGCACATGCGGATGGACATCCAGGGGGGCGACGGCGTGTGTGGGATCAACACGCTGCCTGGGATCTACCCGGTGGTGCGCGCTTCTGCCGACCCGTGCAATGTGAACGGCACCACCAGGGAGGAGTTTGGATCGCTGTTCAACCCGTGTGGCAAATTCACGTGCACTGTTGATGGAAGCAGCAACCGCTGCGATTGCAATGACCCGCGATTTGTGGAGGCTCGTAATCCCGACAACACGCGCACCTGTGCTTACAGTGAGCATTTTTTTATGCGTTTGCCCTTGATAGAACTCTGCTGCTATTCAGTATTCATTACGGATGAGCATGACCATAATTCACCAGGCCCCTTGTCTGTAACGCTTTCCCAGAACCTTAGGTCGATAATAGTGCCCCTCCAACACCTCCCCTCATATGTGTTAGCCTTGAACCACAAAACGTTCTATGGTGCACAATAGGATTCGAGCTCATAACATTTAGCTTCGTTACCTTGTTGATATTCATTCTCTATCCACTTAGCTAGAATGTCTTCTTTCATAGTGGGTGGGCACTAGGGATGAGCAAGGTGGCGAACACCTGTTCGGTTCGCCTCAAACGTGTTCGAGGCGAACCGAACAGGTTTTGTTTTTTAGCTCAAATCGTTCGCCGAACAGTGTTCGATGTTCGCCCGAACACGTTCGTGTTCGGGCCGCTGCTGAAATTTTCCCGCGACGAACACGAACAATGTTCGAGGTTCGCCCGAACACGCCTCCACAGGCGAACAACGAACACCTGTTTTTTCCTAAACTGTTCGCCGAACACTGTTCGGTTCGGCAAAAGAGGGTGTTCGACAAGGGGCGAAGACGAACATGTTCGTGTTCGCCCTTTGCTCATCCCTAGTGGGCACTGCCATAAACCTCAGGCTAGACGGGCAACGCGGTGAGTAACGAGTCTTGCCCAAAACCGGGAGGGACCATGATTATCCGTGTCTAGTTGCTTTCAAAAGCGGGTAAAAGCGTACTGTCGAAGTGCTTTTTTACTTGTCGCACAACATGACTAGCACACGACTTGGTAGCGGGGATTCAAAATTGATCAGAATCTTGTTGGCAGGTCAAAGGCTTTGTTTATTGGCAACAGTTCGAGTTTTTTCACAGCTGAATGGAGTTTTTTTTTCAAGCAAAAGTTTACTGTGCGAGTGTAACAACCGTGGGCCCTTATAGATATGGGCAATCGGGAATCAATAGAATCTTCCTTAGAATATTATGAAAGTTACAAGGCTTTTAAGATCTACAAGCCTTAAACTACTCTTGACGGTCTTGGGAGAACTTGACGTTGTTGAAAAATGTTAACCCAAGAAGAGTCAATCAAACTTAGTTGCATAGAGAGAGTTGTGAGAGGAGCAGCAAACCTAGAAAGAAAATCTCATTTTCAATGTGTTAATTGTAGTTGGAAGGTGAAGAATGAGCTTGTTTACTCAAACCCCCTCGATAGACCCCTTAGAGAGCTTCAACTATGGCTTTCATGGTGAAGAAGCTTCTAGACTTTTAGCCTATGTGGCATTCATTTTTGGTTGGGAATTCCCAATTTAGCATATGGTTGTTTTATAGTTTGTGTGGATTGTTGTAACCACATCTGACAAGCTCTATTTTTTTTGGAATTCCAACCATTGGTTTTCCAACTAAATGTGTTGGAAGTTCCCAAGACTCAAGGTTGAGGGTTGAAGAATCCAAACCAACCTTTCGCTCCCAGCCTGACCAACTCTTCTCCGGTAGGTCACTTTCTGTCGAGACTCATCTCGACGTCGACTAGTAGGCTAGCTAGGCAGTGCGTACTAGGGATGAGCAAGGTGGCGAACACCTGTTCGGTTCGCCTCGAACGTGTTCGAGGCGAACCGAACAGGTTTTGTTTTTTAGCTCAAATCGTTCGCCGAACAGTGTTCGATGTTCGCCCAAACACGTTCGTGTTCGGGCCGCTACTGAAATTTGCCCGCGACGAACACGAACAGTGTTCGAGGTTCGCCCGAACACGCCTCCACAGGCGAACAGCGAACACCTGTTTTTTCCTAAACTGTTCGCCGAACCGAACAGTGTTCGGTTCGGCAAAAGAGGGTGTTCGACAAGGGGCGAAGACGAACATGTTCGTGTTCGCCCTTTGCTCATCCCTAGTGCGTACAGCGAATAACAAGTCCGGCGAGGGTAAACATCACTCGTAATACACGCCTCACTTTGTTGCTCCAACGAGGCAATAAAAAAACGTGTACTGCATGCGTAATCTTCTCTCACATGCATGTGACCCTTCATTCCTACCACCTGTGCTACCGCTCAGTGCCTTGATCAGGATAAACGTGGTTTCCTTCCACCTGTGTTAGTACACTTGTACCTACCTCCTTTGTTCCCTTGGGTGTTGTGGTTGGTAGCTTTACACCAGACTATGTGTTTGATATGAGCCATGAGGCTCTTTAGTACAAACAATGAGCAAGAGAGAGATGAGAGGGAAGCTTACCCTATTGGCCAATAAGTTGACCAATGGGTGAGCTTGCTTGTGACCCAAGCAACCACAAATGTGTGTTGGTTGGGATTGGTTGAGCTAAGGACCAATCCCAACCAACCACAAAATGTGGTTGGAGGGTACACTAAGCAACCCCCCAATTTATAAATGTGCTACACTTCTAGCTAGGGATGAGCAAAGGGCGAACTCGAACACGTTTGGGTTCGAGTTCGCTCGAACATCAACATTTCCCGAACCGAACACGGTTCGGTTCGGCGAACAATTTAGGGTTCAGGAGGTGTTCGCCGTTCGCCCTTGGGGGCGAACATTTGGTATGTGTGAGCGAACTCGAACATGTTCGAACCGAACATGTTCGAGTTCGCCAGTGGGCACTTCGTTATAGTCACATTGGTCAAACAGGGAATCTGGAGGGTTGGGAAGATAGATAGGGGGGTGGAGGGTGTATATGTGTTCATGCAATGCACACTAGCATACGACACCATCATGTTTTGCCTATATAAAAGTCACTGTCAAATTAAATCCTACGCCTGCACACCACTGCTACTACCAACAACAGCATGCTCCGCGTCAGAGGTGTCGCCAGCACCCACCCCCACCTGCTCCTCCTCCCCCTCCTCCTCCTCCCACTCGTCGTCCTCCTCCTCCCCCTCGCCTTCAATGGCGAACTCTGGTGGTGCCTCGCCTTTTGCACGGCGGCCCTCGCCTATCCTCTGTCCAGGGTGTGAGGTGTACCATGATATGAGAATCATGGAAGCTCGCGTCCTCTGAGAGGCTAGGCGGTGCCGCTTCCAGGATATGAGGTTGCGGCCGAAGGAGAACACGCGCTCGCTCGACGCGGACGTGGCAGGGATGGCAAGATAATCCCGGGCCATGCGCCTCAGCGTCTGCATGTTGGTGGCGCTGCGCCAATACTCCAACGCTGACACGTCGCACCGCACCCTCTCAGATAAGTACCTGCCAACCTCGTCATCCTGCACCATCCCACCCCTCCCCGCCTCCTGGCTCGCCGACAGACGCGCCGCAAGGCGTCGGCGACTAGGGAGAAACTCGGCGTCTTCGTCGTGATCCGCCGCGTCTCCCTCCTCCTCCGTCACTGGGGCAAGTGGGGTCGGCCGAGGGGCAATCGCTGCAGCCCGGGCCTGGTACACGGCCACGCGTTCGCGAACCAGCTGGATCACCTCGCTTGACGAGGGACGAGGCCTCGCCCTCCGGTCGGTATCGGGATGCAGCGTCTCCCAGTGCGCGTCGTCGAACCACGCCGCCTTCATGGAAGGGTCCAGGAAGGTGGCGATCCACAACTCGTTGCTTGACATCAGTTCATACTTCTTCAAGAGACCCAGCGCCGCCTCAATCATCGGCTTCAGCGTAGCCGATGGCCCCTTGGCAAGACCGTCGCCACTGTAGGGTACGCCGCTCCCTCCGCGGCCTTGGAGACTTTGGCGAATGGGCTGAGGAAGGTCTTGACAGAATGCAGAGCCTCCCAGTCTCCGTCCGTCCGGCGCAAGGTGTCCATCTTCGCCTTGTCAGCCTTCGACACGCCCTGTCGGGTAGAACGTATAGGTGGGCGGGTGTTAGGGTGGAAAGTGGGGTGGTTGAGGTTGTTGGACGTCCGAAAAGTTTAGTCAAGCATGGCCAACAGTGGTGCAAGTCCCAAAAGAAAACACCCCGACCGACATACCAACACATAAAACCGCATACATAACACCTGGCACACACACACACCTGTGTCTGGGCAAAGAAGACAGAGATGGGTTCCTGCAGAACCCCGGCTCGCTCGACCATGTCGTGGGTCGACCCCCAGCGTGTGGGACTGTCCTGCACCAGCTTCAATGCCGGCTTCGGTTTGGCGGGGTTGCCCTGCGCGTTCAGGGTCCGCTGAAGGCCCAAGAACTTCCCTGAGCGCTGCGGCGAGAAGCCTATCCACGACGCCATCTCTCTCAGAATCTTCAGCAACTTGCGGATGGCGGTCACAGCGAGTGCTGCCTTCACTGCAAGGTTGATCACGTGTGCCAGGCATCTGCACACATCACAAAACATTCATGGCGGAGAGAAAGGGAAGTGTGAGTACACATTGGCATAGATCCGAGAAACACTACCACTCTCAAGCCGCATAGGCCCACCCGCCTGTACTACAACCACAACATGTTCACATCACATGAACGACGCACCCAGACTCCCTCATCGCACATCCCACGCACACTCCCTTTCGCACCGGAAGTGCATGCGCGAGTTGAAGAAGCACTGGCCACCACCCTCCTCCGACATCCACCTGAAAGCGGCAGTGTTGCTGGAGGCGTTGTCTGAGGTGAACCCAAAACAACGCGTCTCCAACCCCCACTGCACCACAGTCTCCTCAACCACCCTCGCCATCTGCTTGCCCGTGTGACGCCCGTGAATCTCGCGGAATCCAAACACCATTGTGCGCAGCTGGTAATTCTCGTCGATCCAGTGACCCGTTACCACTAGCCACACCCTGTTGTTGGGCGACGTCCACATGTCGATGGTGAACGACACCCTGCACCCCAGATCCCCCTCCTTCGCCAGCATCTCCGCAATGGCTGACTGAAGAGCGGCAGCCGCATAGACCACTGTATCGCGGGAAACCGTCCAGCGCGAGGGGATGAAGTTCTTCTGCGCGCAGTTGCGGTTTAGCAGGATGAGTAGCTCACGAAACTGGAGAGGGGTAAAGACAAGCGGGGAGAGGGGAGTAAACGTCAGGGGGATGGGATGAAAATAATGTAGCACTGCACTGGGCCACACGCAAACAGTCAAAACACAAAGGGACAGACCCGTCCACTAACCACATACTTGCCAAATCATGCATGGGATGGGATGGGGCACTTACAGCCTCGGCCTCGACGATGTGGAAGGGGAGGTCGCAGGTGACCACCA